TTTTTTTAAAAAAATCTCTATTTTATTTTCTTGTTGTACTTTTAGATTTTTCTGTTACTTCTCTGTCCTTTTTTTTTTGGCTTTTCTTATACTAAATAATTTATATTCTTGTTTATTAGGAGAGTGTCAATCAACTGCTATAAAGACCTCTACTTTTTTTGCCATTCAAGAGATCAATCAGCATTTCCAGTTCCTTCCAAATGTCCAGCTGGGTTAGATTCTCCATGACAATTATTTGAAACCTAGACTTCTGTGCTGGATCAGCTGTGGAAGCTAATATTCCTAAATATAGCTGTAGAAGGCAGAAGGACCTTTTCATTCTCCTACATACACACTTTAAACCCAAGAATACATTAAGGCAGAAGCTTGTCCATCCCAAGGATAAAACAGCCAGGTACAAAATAAACAATGTGACATATGCAGTAAAGTTCAGTGAGACATGTGTAGATCTGTTTCTTGGTGAGAAAAAACAATCACTTCATCAACACATGGCACAACATAGGAGAGCAAGTGCATTCGGAAAAGATTCAGCAGTCCATCTGCATTTGAAAGGCAAAGGTCACACTTTTCAACACATTATGTTGTGTGATTTCATTCATTTAAGTACTTAACTACTTATTTACTACAGACATTTATCAGAAATGACGCAGGTGGTGCTCATCCAGAGTTCTTAGCAATGTTTTATTTAAGTCATTTGCCATTGTCTCTTTCTTAGTGTGCTGAGAGAAGGGCTGTCCTAGTGTCACTCAATTGGTTTTAAGCACAGGGCAGGACTAGAGCTCATAGTCTCCCAATTTCTAACCTGGCGCCTTAACCATTACACCAAACTGCGTCTAGTCATATCCAGGCAGTTGGATTGCAAATATGGAATGGGTGGGGATGAGCTATTATTGTTCCAATAGATTTGTCAGTGCTCAACCAGGGGAATGTCTTTTGGTATTTTTATTCATTTTTTAATGTTTTGTCTAGTTTTGTCTCTCTTTAATTTTTTCTTTTGGATTTTGGATTATAATCATTTGAATAAAATGTAAATGTAACTAAAGAGAAACCTGTTTAGGGGATGCTCTCTAAACATGCCATTATCTGAAGTCGGGGTTCTTTGTAATATTGCACTCAAGAAGGATGATAATCCAACTGTTCATCTAAAATATAATAGATAAAGAAGATATGAACTAAAATAAGATTTCTAGAAAATAATTCTTACAAAATTAGATGATTTAGGATCACACAGATGTGATATGAGGGATGGATTTGACATAAACTCCCAGTCACAGGTTGGAATAACACATATATCTATACATTTTTCTTATGGACACTTCAAAAGCTTTGGAGTAATCACTGGGAGATGAAGATGGACAATCTCCTTATCCAGAAGCCTTTTTTATCTTCTTAAAATGGAGGTTTCCTAAGATATGTCATCCTGAGCCCATAAGACTTGTTTTCAAATTTAGCTATTTTATCCAGCTATCCACTAAAATTTGATGTTTACAATAGGAAAAAGGAGGTGTATCTAG